GGTTTCCGTGCGGGGGGGGGGGCGGGGCTGCCACTGCCGGCCACGCACGGCACGAGAGGGCGGCAGTGAGGTCTGCTGAAGCTCCTGTGGCCAGGAAAGCGGGTGCAGGCCGTGGCAGGACGGTGCTGGTGGCCATCAGGGCAGCAGGAGTGGCGGGGTGCAGGAACATGCTGCTTGTGGGGGTTGAGGGCAGGGGACCTGTCTTTGGCCCAGGACGTTTCTTCCATTGATCCTCGGCGTGAGCACTGGATCATCCCTTGAGTCTTGTGCATCCCCTGCCCCCCTGCCTTCCCTGTTGGGTGGGACGAGACCAGGCTGAAGGCAGGGTGCTCGGCACAGCACACGTGGGCCCAGCTGCATCGTTGTTCTCTGCCCGCTCGCTGCTGGGCCGGCAGCGCAGCCCTTGGGGGAAGGTGCTGCGTGCATGCTGCCCAGCTGCCAGGCGCTGCCTGAGCCGGGGAGGAGCTGCCAGGCAGGGGCGGCCGGTCCTCTGGCCTCTGCTGCACATGCATGGCTGCGTCTGTCTGTCCTCCCTTTCCCTCCTGTCTCCACTGTGTTACCCCAGACAGTCCCTGGGTCTGCATCTCTCTGGGGCAGTGCTCCTGCTGCTTTGCTCTCGCTGTTTTCCGTAGCGTGCAGAAGTGGCCCAGGGTGTGCATTAGGAACGTGTGGGGTCTTCCCCTCTGACACCCCCCAAAACTTGGCTTGCGGTAGCTGGGCAGGATGGGTGCGTGTGGGACAAGCACGGGGTGCAGAAGGGGCTGGGACTGCCGCGTACCTGGCTGCCCCCACCCTTTCTCCTGGCTGTGCCACCGTGAACGCCTGGTAACCCCCTCTCTGTGTCTCTCTGTGTTTCTCCAGGATCTCACCTCAACACCAAACCACTGAACTCCACACACGTTCTGACACATACCTGAGAAGAGAGGAGAGGAGAGCAGAGAGTGGAGGGGAGCAGGGCTGGCTGTACATGTTTCTATAGGCTAATGGCATGATTTCTGTATGAGACATACTTACCGTCCTATCCGCATGACCGACTGACTGCAAGACGCATGAGCTACAGTACTTAAAACTGACGGAGGGGCCTCCGTCCCTGCCCCGCTGCTGCCAGGAGCCCAGAGACAGCAGCACGCACCGGGGCATCCTCTCAGCTCCTCTGGGAGGCAAGAGCCGGACTGGCAGAGAACGAGAGGGAAGGAGACTCCATCCTTGCGCATTTGCGTGTGTAAATGCATCCCCACGCCCGTGCTCCAGCTGCAAGAGGGAAGCTGGGGCAGCACAGCGCTGCTCGCCGTGGAAGGAGAGGGGCTCGACCCCCCATCACCCGTGCTGCCTCTGCTGGACTCGCTTCTCATCCCTCTCAGTGAGTGTTGGGTTACGGGGAGGGCAGCAGTTGCCAGGAGGTGTGCGAGAGGCGGGTTGCAGGGAGCACAACTGCCCTGGGCAGAGGGGCCGGTGCAGGGCTGCCCTTCCTCTCCCCAGCACGTGCAACGTCTTCCTCCAGGGCAGGGCTCTGGGCTGAGCACTGAGCTCGTTGCTTGTGTTGAAAGTGTAAACTGTACAGCAATCAGCCTTGTGTATATGAACCAATAAATACTATGCAAACCCCTAGGGACACTCTAGCAGTATGTACAAAGCACTAACAGCTCCGCTCCCAAATACCTCTTCAGGCTGCAGGACGGGCAAAAACCTTTGGAGTAGGTGAGCAGCTCTGGTGAACGGAGCTGGGAGGCTGTAGGAGGAGAAGGGCAGCAGACTGCCCCTGCCCTGTGCCCCTGCGCCCGAGCCTGGTCCCTTCCTGGCCTGAAGAGAGGGGCCCACAGGCTCAGTCCCACGGGCCTGTCCATGGTGCAAACCCCAGTTTGTGCTGGCTCCAGCTGGCGTGAAGCTGTAGGCCTGCACTGGGGTGCTTGGGGCCCAGGGAGAGCGGGTAGCGAGACAGAGCAGGGGACGCTTATGCCACACGCGGGGTTGTGCCTAGCTCTACTCAGCACAATATCTGCTCAGGAGATGAGCCAGGAGCTGGCAGCAGCCAGCAGCCCTGCGCTACGCACCCCGTGCAAGGGCTTTGCAGGGTCCCCTGGCTCCCCTGCGAGGGCACAAATGAGCATGGCCCCTTGACCCCGGGGACGCTGACCCTCCCAGGACCAACCCCGGAGACACGGGGGGCTGCTCCCCTGGTGGCTGCGCTTCGGCCAGGCGAAAGGCCCTGCTGCAGCGGCCTGGCCCAAGCGGCCACCCCGGGAGCGAGGGCAGTCCCGGGGCCAGCCGCTCCAGCAGGAGAGCCCTGACGGGCAGAGCTGCCCAGGCACCTCTGAGGGGGGCAGGAGGTTGAATCTGCTACGATACTTGACCCCAGGAGGGCCAGATGCAGGCAGTGGCAGTAAATCCCATGTCCCCGACTCTGTCCTTTACCTAACCAAGGTGGGGGCCTGGTCTTTGTAGCACAGTGGTGTGGGGACCCCCTGCTCTTTCTCCTGGAGGTGGCCACGGACCTGTTGCGCAGGGCCCGAGTTTGCTCCCTGCGGCCACGTGCCGAGCGAGCCCACTTCCAGCTTCGGGCCGGTGGCCCTGGCAGGGCAGCCCTGTCTCGCATTGGGTGTGCATCTGCCGGGAAAGCCCCTGGCTCCCCTGCAGTCGGGAAGAAGCCTGGCTGCAGCGAAGCAAACGACCCAGCTTAGCCTTGGAGAGCAGAGCAACCCCTTCCCCACCCCAAAGCTGAGCCATATAGGCACGGACTCTCCATCCATCACCCTTGCTGTGTACGATAACCTCCCTAGACCCACTGCGACAGCTGACTCCGTAGCATCACTGTAGAGTTGTGTGTGGGTCCTGTGCTTTGGCCTTGTATACGCCTTAGGGAATGTGCTGTGCTGCGGCCGTGCCAGGCACCTGCAGTGACATTGCTTTGCGCTCAGATTGCTCGTAGGGCTGGTAGGGGGAGGCTGCACCCGACATTGAGCCTAGAGAATGCTGCAGTCTGCACACTAGAAGCTTTTTAGAAGTTTTAAAAATTACTTTTATTTCCTTTTTTTAATTGTTATGGAAACAAGCCTTTTGGATCTCCCTGTCTTAGCCCCTGATGTATAGATCATTTCCCTGTACACCAGCTATCAGACTATGAATTAATAAAGAAACCAACACAGACTGTGTCTTGTCTCTGCTTTTCTGAGGGTGGGGGGGAGGCTGAGGCTGCGGGGTGTGTGGCCGGGAGGGGTTCCCCTCTGCCCGTACCCCGTCACCAGGAGGGCAGGGGCAGTGGCGGGGGCTGGCAGCTCCTTGTGCCCCGCCA